CGGGGCGGGCACCGGCCTCGCCTCATGCCCGCGGGTCCCGCCGTCGCCCCGGGCGCTCACGGGGGCCGCCGGCCCCTCGCCGCCCGTCGGGGGCCGCAGGAGAGGCGTCGCTAAGGCTCCGCGCGAGCCCCCCGACGCTGATCTTGGTCTGGTTTTCGCTCGTTAAAAACATCTTGGCCCAGTAGCATCCCACTTGGGAAATTGCTAGAACGTATGTTTGCCGCTGGAAGTAACGTGTGTCTCCGCGGAAGGCTGAATTTTTTATCTGTAAGGCTCCAGCTGTTGTTACCCACGTGCGCAGGTGCGGGTATCTTATCGTTGCTCACTGTGAACATGCCGAAATTATGTTTATTTGGTGGATGACAAATGCGGTTTGAATACGCTTGCCTTTATATTAACAGATCCTTTTATGGCAATAGTTTTAAAGGACACGCTGGAAAAAAGAGGTGCGCTTGGACAAATAAAAGCAAGGATCAGAGCTGAAGTTTTTAATGCCCTGGATGACCAAAGTGAACCGCGGCCACCACTGTCTCATGAAAATCTCTTAATCAACGAACTAATTCGTGAATACCTGGAATATAACAAATATAAATACGCAGCATCTGTTTTAACTGCAGGTATTGGGGCTGAATTTTTGTTGTCACTGGATTAACAGACATTTGCTGTTTATTTGAGTGATTACACTGATACTATGAAAATTAGTAAATGGGACTAAGCTGCACAATCCTATGTTCACTTGGAAAAAAAATGTGACCACTCTCTTCAAAGGTTTACTTGCAGCATGAAGCTAAATCATACAATTAGTTTTCAAGAAAACGTACCCTTTGCTCCTTATCCTTAAGGCATATTCTTTGACAAAGCAGTTAATGCAAGAGCAAGAAAACTTGCTAGCAGCCTGCAAAATCAAAATAGCTTTCTTGAAATGTCTGCTTATGTTTTGGAAATTGGCTAACCATATTTTAAAAGCATGTATCACTTTTTTTTTTTTTTTCCTTCTCATTGGAATTTAGATAAAATAAAAAAATAGAAATCCTAAAAATGAACAAAATTTCTTTGAGGAATAATTAATATGTACATAAAGTAGCTGATGGTCTGAATTGCAGCAATTCTGACAGTTCGTGCCTATAGACTGTATCAGAAATATGGCTGGATGTCCTCAGTTTCAGTGACAAGAATATAGAAAAGGTCCGTATTTCTTTAATAATTTCTTACTGTTAGTGGCTGTCCTAAAGTGCCAGTATTTCAGAGCTGTTTAGACTTCAACATTAAATAGCAGCCATAATTTATATGGTACAGCACTTATTTTTGCAGCTATTGCTAACTTGTATTTGAAATTTGAAGCTCTGTAGTTGTGCTTAGATACAGTAATTACATTTGCTATTTAATAATTGGATATATTTCACTATTAAAATTACAGATGCAAAGGTTTGTCTCAAGAAGAGGGAATGGAGACAGTCTGTATAGTAGTTAATGTATGGAATCTGTTTAATAACTACTTCTTTAGAGAAAGAGTTGTCTGATTAATTTATCTTTCTATTGTAAGACTAGTATTTTTCTTAGATTCCTTTAGAGTGAAGATAAAAATTGTAATATGCTATTATAAGTATGAAGTACTAATGTTTGAGTTCCCTGGAATTACAATATACTGTTAGATATTAATAGTTTTAAAGGGAGGTGTGTGCTCTCATTTTCTTTCAAAGTCTCCTGAGCAGTCTTTAAAAATTAATTGATGATGTTTTCCTTAACAGTCATAGATTTTTGTGGAAATCTCTTTTTCCAGAATCTGGCCAGCCTGAGGTGCCCTTGGATAGACAGTTTCTTGCCAAAGAGCTGAACATCGTCGAAGACACAAATGGAAAATCAGTGTAAGGAGTGATTTTTGGAATGCACAGTGTATTCTGTTCCGCATATATTTTTCTCTTTAATGTTATTATAAATTACATGTAAATGTTCTCACCAATTGAAACGTGGCTAGATCACAGGGCTGCGCTGATATGCTGGATTCAAACTCACAATGTCAAACGTGGGGCCATTTCCAGACATACTCAAAACTAAAATTTAATTCTGCCATATCTAGCATTGTCCACATAGTGTATTTGCACACCAAAACACAAGTCTCTGTGGTAAGTACAGTCTTCTCTACAGTCAGAAGCAGAAAACGGATATGGTCTTTGCATATCAGTGAGCTGCTTTGTAGAGCAATAATAAGATTATTGTACTTGAGATTAGATATAAATTCACAGTGCTCCAGTACAACTGCATTAATGAGCTGGGGTACTGAAGCAGGTTTAAACACGTTCAGTGTCATCTGTAGCTTGTGCTGTCAGAATCTATCAGGTGCTTAAGAAGGACCAAGTTTAGGACGTGCAGCCCAGCGAAGCCTGATCCTTCGCACTGCATGAGTAAGGATGTGGATCTGTGTTCCTGTGCTAAGTATGCTCTGGTTCCTCACCTACAGGGGATCTGGAGCTTAGCTGAGAGGGGCTCTTAGTGCAGGCTTTTGAGGAGTGTTGGTGTTCAGGGTGGGCTTAGGTCTGTGCTTATTTATATGATGACACTCGGCCTAACATATTTTAAGTCATTACTCTGAAGACATTTGTACATATTCTAGAAGTAAACGTTAAACATCTCAGAAGTTCTGAGGGAAGGGTGGGTTTTTAATGTTCAGTATTTCATAGACTGTTTTTGTCATTTCTCTCTTAAGCAGACCTCTCTTGTACGGAATTATCTCTCATTTCTTACATGGTGGTAAAGAAGAAAGTACCCAGAATATCCTTCCAAAAGTGTCTTTGCTGAATTATCCAAAGCAGAACCTTGGGAAACCACCTACTGAGAGAAATCAAAAAGGTGGGTGGGGGTATGGGGTCATTTTTACAGAAGTTTTATTTGTGACTGGATTTTCCATATGATACATAAGCTTATAACTTCATAAACATGCAGATGGACTGTGTATTTCCTTCTCTGTGCAAGGAACACTTTGAGCTGACACCTCTTTCGTAAGAAAAGTTCTTCAGCAGAACTGTGTTTATACCATTAAGCAATACCATTAATCTGTGTGACCTGACCATACCTGTTGCTCATGTATCATTTAAGAAAGATCCTACTATATCCAACCCAAGAAAGACCCACCCAGGATTTCTAAAACAACCTGTATATATATATATATATGCCCTTGTTTAAATAAGTGACCGACTTACACCAACTTTTGGGCCTGCTTCTCTCTCCTGGTATGCTAATGGGACAGCATACGTGGCATACAAATCTGATTGCCCTCCGAAGTGCTTGACTTCAGATGTGTCAGCAGTAGAACTTTCTCTCTTATATGGGAATGTGTTTTATTTATAAAGCAGACATTTTTAAAAATTGCAGACAGCCAAAATTAAGCAATTTCATAACAGTGCAAGGAACTGTGAAGCTCCTGTTACCTTGTGGTAGCTGTAGCTACTTGTTAGTTACTAGAGGGAAGGGGAAAATACCTAATTGTTTAGTTTTATTCTATTGAGGCTCTTGGACTGTTAAAAACTAAAAAGTCACTTAAATTAGACAGCTGTATTATTTTAATTAGTTTTGCTGCTCTGCAGTTACGGGTAAAGACCAGAAAATACTAATATCTCAATTTTCAGTATCAGAAAGGTCATTTACCAAATTGCTTTACAATTTTGCTAGAAGTTAAGAAGTTTGCTAGAAGACAAATTGTACTCCCTTGTACTATAACAAATCCAGAAAGGGTCAGCTAGAGACAGTGTTATTACATTGTCAAACTAATACAAAAATTTAACCTAAATTCTCAGTAAAGTATGTTAAATAGTGGGTGCAACTCTTTGTTTCTCAACAGTTCTAACTTAGCTAATTTCTATAGAAAGTTCTTAACGCTTTAGCTGTCAGTTTTGTATATAGGCATAAACCTTTTCTGAGGAGATAACTCACATCCCAGTGACTGCAGAAGCTTAAGCTTTTCAGTTCACTGCTCTATAGCAGAACACTGCTAGATCTTATTTTCCCTTTCTGGTCTGCTTTTTGGCTGATTAAAGTTTGTGCTGCCAAAGCTACAGAATGAAGGGGATCATTGGTCCAGTTTTTTCCTTCAAAGAGTCTGCTTGGTGTATTACTTAGCTTTCTACTGTGAGAATTTAGTACTATTGTGTTAGTACTACCAAAAATGTGCAGAAATTTGAAAAGGCCTGAGATATTGACATCTAAAAAGTACGAGAGAAGTACGAAACACCTTTTCTTAACAGTTAATTCATCGAGACAATGTTATTTTCCTTTTGCCAGAAGAGGGGGCTGAAGAAATAAAATTTCAGCACCAAAACTGTTCTAAATTATCTCTTTGTTAGAAAATAATTATTCCTATCAGAAATTTATTCATTAAAAAAAAATAATTCAGTGTATAGAAAAATTATATTTCCAGTACAAACTTTGTACCTCAGTTCTGAAATTGATTCTCTGCAGGGTCACCTTGCCCTGTTGACTCCAGTATAATTTCACATGGGGATTTAATTGTTTCAAGTTAGTTACAAAACTCAGGATTAATCATAAGACATGACAGCACATTGCTTTTTGAACTAAACAAAACCAGCACAGTTTTAAGGGTTTTAACCTTTAAGTGACTATAGTCTGAAATTACTTTCTTCTTGTGTTTGTTGAATACGTCAGTGGAGACCTAAAGGCAGCGGCTTTAAAATACTAATTATCTAGCTATTTTAATTAGTCTCTGTATTAAGGTAATCAAGTCCATTCATAAACTTAACCCTCCCAAGTCTCATATTTTAACATCTAACTTGCATTTCATATTGGAAGATATCTTGCTTATCTAGTTGAATGAATATTCCAATAGACTGATATACAGACTGGGAATCCTAATAAAACACGTGGAATCTGGTGTTTCCATTAGTTCATTCACTATAGCCAAGTTGAAGCTGTCTGAAATCTCATCTTTAGTAATGCAAAACTCTTATACACGTGCCTGGAAAAATATATTTGTAAAATTGCCAGAGTTCCCTATGATGATACTCTGTATCAAAGTTGGTAATAGTAGAAGATAACCTTTGGATCTCCTGATGTGTGACAATATTTACGTTTGTTTCATTTTCAGATAGAATTCCAGAACCAGGAAGGATGGCTGGCACGAGCATCGAAGAACCCCTTGTTTTACAAAGTATAAACAGATGATAGCTTTCATATTGCTCATAGGAAGTTCTGTAAGAGTTAATTTAAGAAATTCTTCTTTGCGTTAATTTCCCCGATACGTCCAGTGGGACCATTTCAGCTTGTTAGATCTACCCTGAGACAGGATGGCGGGCTCATGCTCACTGTCGAGGAAAAAAACATTAGCAAAGGCTCTCTTCCTCCAGGGCTGATAGAAGGAAAACTGTATATGAAGTCAGATTAGTGAAGACTGGGTCTAGAATTGGGCCTAAAAATACTGTACTTTGTAAAAATTTATCAGATACCTTATCACTTCTGCACTTTCTGTATGTCTCTGTGTGTCTTTCCTGTGTTTCTGAATAAAATTTTTCAGTTTTATTCTGTGTGGTATTTTGAAAATGTTCGAAGTAAGCATTTTAAGAAGAATTCTTTAAAAAGAAGAAGCTGCTACTTTTGGATAAGTATGGGAAAATAAATTTTAAAGTGCTTTAGAGGAATAGTTGTTTTTAATTCTCCGGAAATGAGGACTATATATATCTTCATGCCAGCAAACAAATGAACATAAGTCTTTTCCATCTGGAGTTGCTATAAATTGTACGGTGTAACACTAGTATATGGGAGGGGGGGAACTTGTGTTTTTTTCCCCAAACAACATGAAACTCAAAATCGGGCAAAGCTAAAAATAAAGTTTATAGTAGATTACCAATTCCCAGACTTTTTTTTTTAGCTGAGGTATTTACATGTTTTGAAATGATAATTTATTTTAAAAGCCAAACTTAGAGGGGTACATCAAAAGTAACAGGTTAGCTATTTACTCATTTTAACAAAACAAATAGATGTTAATGTTTCCAGTGGTACTAAGACAAGTTTTGTGTAAATAAATTTATAGGGTTGCATTTTTAAAAAAATCTTGTTAGATAAATAGTACAGTAAGTGGGGAAAAAAATGAAGAGAACATGCAGTTTGTGACTTCAAGTAAAAGGACCCAAGTTGTACAGACTGCAAAGTTTTGCCTTTATCTTGATTTGACACAATTAGCATTACAGGTATTTTTTTATTTTGGTAAGCAGCCTGGCCTCTAACGTGAAATTGCAGAGAACAGTTACAGGTTGAAAGGAGAAGTTGCATTTATCCATTTGAAGCCTCGGCAATGAGTTCATCCCCTTCGTGTGACTGGCAATGCTGCCAGCTCCCCATTTGCTGATTTGTAAGTATCTCCCAAGAGGGCAGGCTGTATGTTTGCAAATAAACCGCAGTCAAATCCACCTTTAAGTCTTTTGTAGCTTTGCATTGATTACAATTGACCATTGGGTCAAGCAAGCAAATTTATTTCTGTATGCCCCCACTGTTTGCTCAGTGCCAACACCACCGTCAGGGTCCACTGCTTGGCTGGCGAGGCATCTGTCAAAACAACCACCACAGGATTCTGCCTCAGTACTAGGGTCTTTCCTGCCACGTTAATGCAAATATTCACAATCACTAACCTCTCTCAACTTAATCTGTCTAAAAATACTAGTACAAAAATGGTCTGCTAAGCTGTTATTTGCAAATTGCCTTCATTTTGGAATGAGCTGAAAGTGCCTTTACGGAAAGCTGCAAAAAATGAACTTTTGAGCAATGTGGATACGATTGCTCCGGCCACAGAAATCCCTGAATTTTTAACTTCAGTATTTCAGAGGTTAAACACTAGGCCCCTGTTTCTCCATAAACCAGTGGGTCAAATTGTTATGTATATTTGGAATCTGAATTGTCTTTTCAAGGGCAAGGAAAAAGGTTCTGGGAAACGCAGAATCTCTAACCTATGCTATGCACATCTTCCGGTGTGACCAAAGCCCCTGCATCTGCTTTCTCCTCACCATAGATCATACAGAAGCTGCCCAGGTGCCATGGAGCTCCCTGGGAAAAGGACTTTTAATGGTAGAAATTAAATACAATTTTTGTTCTGGTTGAAGAAGGCAAAGGGGTGTTTGGTACTTGCCCTTTCCCAGGCACACAACTCAGCAGGCTCATGGTCTCCGCAGCCATGAAAGCAGAGGTTGCTACAAGGGTGTCCTTCCCTGAGCTTTGAGGTAAGGGTGTATATCTGAAATCAGGGAAGAAATCCGTTTAAGACAGAGGAAATCTCAGGACTATTTTCTTTGGGGATTGCAGCTTCAGCCCTTCGTCAGGATCCTGCACTGGGACAGCGGGTGGAAGCTGGCCCGTTTGTTCTTGGTGCAACATGCATTTCATCAAATTCTCTATTACCTTACAGTACAGATTTGGGGGTTGGGAACAATCCCATTGTATGAGCAAATTAAAATCTAATTAAAGTGTATTTCCAGTGATATTTATTTGTACAATGCAGCTTTGAAATATGTCTATGAAAATATACTGGTCTAATCACATTATTAATGGTCTAGCATTTATCCTGACAGTACATGAAATATGAGAGCATCTTTCAAGATGCAGACATGCAGTGAGTCCTATGAATGTCAGGCTGCCTTACTTGTTAACAGATGAAGAGGAATTGCAAAGCCTGTACTTCGCAAAAAATAATTCCTTAAAAGTTTAAGCTAAGGGAGGCCGGTATTTAGGTGAAAATAGTTCACAATCTTGGAGTCACAGGTTCAGGTTTTAGATTAAACTGCCACCTAGGTAAGCAGGCACAAAATTTTTTTAACTCAATTTTAAAAGCCTCATCTAGCTTAATTAAAGACAATGACGTCTTGCATTAACTGCCCTTATTCTTTCTACTGATATCAGAAAATTAAAAAAAATTAAATATATAAGCATGTAGAAGTTTGGGGGGTTTAATGAGCAAAATGCAATTCTGAATTCTATTGGAGATAGAACACTGTAACTGAGACTATTATGGAGGGAATTATGTTAAAAGAGGCTGTTCTTTGTCTAAGCATGATATCACAAGTGAAGGTGACAAGGAGCCAGTGAAGTTTGGTGTGGATATCAGATCTGGAAAGCCCTTTGGAAGAACTTAACCCGCAAGTTTAAAAAAAAAAAAAAAAAAAATTCTTTAAAACCAAATTTTTGCTCTCCCCTAGAATCAGAGGAAACTATGTTTACAGACTCCACAGCATCAGTGCTGTTTCAGAGGTATTAGTTTCTGTCATGCACAGGGGAAATTTTTTTCTAAGCTTTATCAACACGCTCCAGGGAGTCGGTTACGCTTTCCTTCCTGAGTACCCTTTGTATCAAGCCGAATCTCGGTGTCAGTTGATCAGTTTTCCGGAGAAGTTATTATCATTAGGTGATTATGTTTAGGAAAAGAAACCCCAAAATATTTGTTCACACTTGCAAAGACACCCTTTCAATAGCAGTTCGTGTTCGACTGATTCAGAATTGACCCGTGTGCTTCACATACTTCACTTGACCTGCAGCCAGCAGTAAGCACAAAGCTCGGCCTTAAGCAGCTGGTGACTATTTTACCTCGTCAGACCACTCCCGTGATTAATTGTTCTAGTTTGGATGCAGACTGTCCCTCCGTATGCTTGTCAGTTCCTATTACATGCCAGCTTAGAGAAACATGGTTGGTAAACATAGGTAAAAACATTTTTAAACAAAAAATAATTGCTTGCCTGACACATATTATTTAGCAAACTAACATCACCATCCATGCTTTTCTTTTTTTCCTCCATTGTGTTTAGGTTACACAGGTGGTAAGGCAGCTGGAAGTTCATTTCTTTCCTTCTTGAGTCCTCTTTCCACCCCCCCCACCCCCCCAAGTATAACATTTACAGTGCAAATTCAGCAAGGACATATTTTAAGGACAGGCTGCTCAATATTTTTTTTTCTACAGAAGTAATTAAATAAACAAATCAGCGGGGGGGGGGGGAAA